GTCTTCTCTGGAGGCGTGCGAAACGACGTTGAAGCCCTGCGAGAGCTCATTAGATCAGTCATTAGGGAAGAACTGAGCAGACTGCAAATGCACCAGACTCCAACTGCACTATCTGTTACAGACGTTGTTCGTGACGAACTGAGGCAGGTCATACGAGAACCAGAGCGTGAGCTGCAGCCGGTTCGACCTATCCGAACGTACTCTGAAGTTCTCCGACAACCCACAGTACACAACAATGCAGCAGTTGCGATGGCGGCGACTCCTCTCCCATCTACAGCACGCAGCGCACCTCGTCCACGGGAACCAACGGCTACCTATCTGCCCCCAGGAGCACATAGCACGCATCGCTATGGGGAGCATAGGCCCAGGAAAAGTGACGTTTGGCGTGATCACGAGCGCAGGCCTCTTTGTTTCCATTGTGGCGAAGCGAGTCATTTGTACAGATTCTGCCCTTACCGACAAGCCGGATTAAGAGGCTTCCCGTCGTATGCACCGTGCCCCCGAAACGGCGAACGACCAGCAGAGATTGAGGAGTACTTGTCCACGCACCAGAACTCGCCACCTCTACGCCAACGTCGGTCACGGTCACCATCGCCTATGTGCTACCGGTCATCCAGCCCACGTGCACCTTCAATTAGGCAGCCTGGTCATCGCTCTCCAAGTCCACTCCCGGAAAACTGAAGCAAGCGGCCTGTGGAGGTGAGGCCGCTGATAACATCAATTACGAAGATCCTCCAATATGGCTTGAGGGGGACGACGGTGTATTTCCGGTAAATGGGTGCAGCCACGAAAGCGTTACTTCAGATTTGCGGTTGAGAATGGAAGGATGGGAGCTGAATGCCTTAGTCGACACCGGTGCTGATTATTCAGTGATACGTCACAAGATGGTGAAGAAGTTAAACAAAGTTGTGACACAGTGGAGTGGATCGCAGATACGCACGGCAGGTGGTCACATTATTACACCCCTTGGCAGATGCACCGCAAGACTTGAAATACGGGGATTTATTTACGTTGCCGATTTCATTGTGCTACCAGAATGTTCAAGAGACCTCATTATTGGAATGGATTTTTTGCGAGCTAATGGCGCCGTAATTAACCTGCGTAGGTCCAGCGTGTCGTTTTCGACTGAACGAGCTATACCTGTAGAGGAATCTGAGGAGCGACGCCTAACTGCTCTACGCGTTGTTCATGATGACGTAACTGTGCCGCCACGCTGCAGTATAATGGTGCTCGTAGAGAATGACGCATTTTACAACCGCGAAGGCATAGCGGATACAAATGTAGGGCTGTTTTTGAACAAAGGTGTCTGCGTAGCTAGGGGTCTTGTTCACTTGACAAAAGGCCGTGCAGATGTCCTACTCACAAATTTCTCCAATGAACTTCAACACATCGCTCAAGGCACGGCTACTGCCTACTTACACGACTTCTGTACGGCGACTGAACTATGCAGCGTAACGACATCAACCACTCGACCAGTGGCCTGCAACATCGACACATCCGTGACCGTCAATCAGAGCCTTCCGGACAGTCAAAAGAAACAGATTTACGCCTTAGTAAAAGAATTCTCTGATTGCTTTTCGATTGCCTCGAAGGTCCAGTGCACGTCAATTACGAAACACAGAATTATAACGCAAGACGACACGAGGCCTATATGCCAGCATCCATATCGAGTGTCACAGAAAGAACGGGAAATTATTAAGAAGCAAGTGGAGGAAATGCTTTCGGATGATGTCACCCAGCCTTCGAATAGTCCATGGGCGTCCCCCGTAGTGCTCGTTAAGAAGAAAGACAATACGCTTAGATTCTGTGTCGACTACCGAAAACTCAACAGTGTAACTAAACGAGATGTCTACCCCTTGCCACGTATTGACGATACACTAGATCGGCTGCGATCCGCAAAGTTTTTCTCCTCCTTGGATCTGAAAAGCGGATATTGGCAAATAGAGGTAGACGAGCGGGACCGTGAAAAAACGGCATTCGTAACACCAGATGGCCTTTACGAATTCAAAGCGCTTCCATTCGGCCTCTGTGCGCGCGCCAGCGACGTTCCAGCGAATGATGGACACTGTCCTCGCGGGATTGAAATGGCAGTCATGCATAGTGTATTTGGATGACGTGGTGGTATTCTCCGCAACGTTCGACAAACACCTAGAGCGACTGCGCACATTATTACAAGCCATCCGGTCAGCAAACTTGACAATCAAACCCGAAAAATGCCACTTTTGCTTCGAAGAGCTCAGATTCCTTGGACATGTCATTAGTTCTGATGGTGTTCGTCCTGATCCCGAAAAGACAGCCGCTGTTCAGAGGTTCCCTACACCCAAAGACAAAAAGTCAGTGCGTCGATTTTTGGGTTTATGTGCCTACTATAGGCGATTTGTGGAAAACTTCTCAAAGATTGCGGAACCTCTTACAAAACTAACGAAAGACGACGTGCCCTTCACATGGGAAAGCGAACAACAGAAAGCTTTTGATGAATTAAGAAAACGGCTACAGGGTTCACCAATACTTGCCCATTTTGATGAGACAGCCGACACTGAAGTCCATACCGATGCCAGCAATGTCGGCCTCGGCGCCATCCTGGTCCAGTGGCAAAATGGTCAAGAGAAAGTGTTAGCCTATGCCAGCCGCAAACTATCAAAAGCTGAGGCAAACTACACTGCTACTGAAAAAGAGTGCCTCGCAGTCATCTGGGCAATAAATAAGTTTCAACCCTACCTTTATGGTAGACCGTTCAGAGCTGTCAGTGACCACCATGCTCTATGCTGGCTAGCAAATCTCAAGGATCCGTCAGGTCGACTAGCCAGATGGAGCCTTAGGCTGCAGGAGTATGACATTACGGTCGTATACAAATCTGGAAGGAAACACAGTGATAGCCGCGACCTTCCACCTCCGACGACAGTGCAGCTCTGACTTACTGGACTTGCTCTACGCCATCCACCGACGCCGAAAGGAGCTCTCGCAGGTGCGCCCCGTCCTCGGACTCCAGTGACCGTGCTTCATCTTTCCTATCTCTTCTATCCCCTCATCTTGTCGTCGCTCGCTCTGGCTCACCACCTCACGTCTCTTCTTCTCTTCTCCTTCTTCGGCTTTCCTACATCTTTACTCCTAGCCTTTTTATCCCTTCTCACCCCCATCCCTCGTGAGCTACTGTGGCGGTGTCGCTCACTGAAGCAGACAATAACGGGGCTCACTTTTCTCTTCTTTTCCCTTTTTAAGAGTCACTTTCGAAACACAGTGATACCGACTGCCTGTCACGCTCTCCCGTCGATCCAAGTGTACCTGAAAAGGAAGACTTCCCGTTTCTAGGCGTTGTCGACGCATCCGAAATCGCTCAACAACAACGAGATGACCCGGATTTGCTGGCGCTTATACAACACCTGCAGGGTCTCGACGTTCAAGTTCCTCGCATATTCTCCAGAGGGCTCTCCACGTTCTGCCTTCGAGGAAGTGTCCTTTACAGGAGGAACTTTGAACCTAATGGCGAAACGTTTTTACTAGTCGTGCCCACAGCCATGCGACAGGAAATTCTGCATGCATGCATGACGAGCCAACATCTGGCCACATGGGTGTGAGCCGAACATTCGCCAGGATTCGCCAGAAGTACTATTGGCCTAAGTTGTTCGCATCAGTGCAGCGCTACGTGAAAACTTGTCGTCAATGTCAACGGCGCAAAACTCCAGCCGTAAAACCAGCCGGCCTTCTCCATCCAATAGAGCCTCCGGATGCCCCATTCCAACAAGTCGGCATGGACTTCCTAGGACCTTTCCCGACATCATGTGCACGCAAGAAATGGATTGTCGTAGCTACAGACTATCTGACCCGTTATGCTGAGACTGACTCTCTGTACAGTTCCCCTATACATTCCTCTATACATTCCTTGGCATTACTGTCTGTTAGATCTCATTAATATTATATATATATATATATATATATATATATATATATTCATGCAATGCCCCTTAACACAGCTACTATTTTTAGGCGGTGCATTTCTCGTCCGACTACGTTAGATTTGAATTAGTTTTGAGACCTCAAACGGTCGAAAAGGTGAAATCTATAGTGCGAATTTGTAGGGATACGCTATATTCAGCTTCACTAACTGTAAAATACTGGCGCAGGGCTACCCATGGCAGATTTCTTTTTTTTTTTTGGGGGGGGGGGGGTGCAGCAGAACGCCTAACTTTGGCACTTAGTTAAATTACGAAAACATTTCGTGGTGTAAGGGGTTCATATTCCCTTCCTCTTCCCTCTTTACTTATGGCTTTTTTGTTCCGAGTGCGTGTGACACAGTATTTGTTTTTTTTAATCTCACAGCTTTCTGACCACGGCTAACTTCCAATATATCGGCTTAGTTATTCTCAATATTGTAGACGCCTAACCAACAAAGCAAGAGTTAAGAGAGAAGAAATCAGTATAAGACACACCCTTTTTCGATCTCTCACAAGGGCTTTTATGGAGCTCAAATTCAGTAGATTGGCGTGTCATACTTCAAGGGCTATGTCATCATGTGCTAGACATGAATGATGGGCAGGTACGAAGAAATCTGCATCAAGAAAGCGCGACGGAGGAGCCGAACCGCATATATCAGTTTCTGCAAGCGGCGCGCGGCTCTTTCAGTACTATTCGACTTTAGTGCCGCCGCTGAGGGCAACGCCGAAGCGATCAAGCGGCGAAGCACGGTCTTCGGCACGATCACGCCACTCAACACTTCTAGTATACTCTACCCAGGCTTCAATTTTGCCGCCTGGTTACAAAAACTTTTTGCAATAAAGTTGGCGATCAAATAATTGAAGTAGGCTTCAATAAAATTCAAGTTCGTGTCACGTTGTTTTACACTCGGAAAAGAAGCGACGCGAATCTCAAGAATGTAATTCATTCGAAGCAGATCCGATGTATTTCCCATAAATCCCATGGGGGTGCAAGCGCCGCTGAAGGATCCCACGTAGACACTAGCGCCACATTCCCCTCTATTGTACGAAACTCTCCGTTCTCTAGGCAAACTGGTAGGTGTTCTGTGGGCAAGTGTTCTCTGGTGGGCCCATGGAGATTGCGTTAAGATGAACTCATGGCCTAGAGAAAGAGAAAGGGGAAAAATTTTTGTCTTTCTCTATGCTGTGGTGCGCACGGTGTAGATGTTCTGTAGCGCTGCTTTTGAGAAAACTGCTAACCCAATGCTAGTTATCGCTGTTCGGAGGACTGCTTTCTGGAAAATATATAACCTTTCCGCAGTTATGAGCACTGCGGTGGAAGAGTCTTTCCTCGTCGATGGAAGTGATGCTGGTTGCGGAGTGAAGAGAAAAGCTGAAGAACCTGTCACTGGCTTGGACATAAAAAAGGCAAGCTCGCAGATGAAGTTTAGCGCGTGCTTACGGATGCAACTGGCCGATGGGCTTCTTTGTTGGCGCTTATGTTCGTCACCCTCGTGGTACCGAGGTGCGCGTGCGTTGTGCTGTGTATTCTATAGCCTTTACAGTTGTGTAGTGACACCGTGGCGCTCGTTATTCATCATAAAAAAACTGCGGACTCTATGCTAGCTGTTGCTGCTGTGAGAACCATTTTCTTGATCATTCTGCCGTAATGAACGCTGCACTGGAAAAGCTGTCCAGCAACATGGTCAAGAAAAGCCTGAAAACAAAAGCCAAAGAACCTGTCGCTTATGTGGACGTAAAAAAGGCAAGCTCGCAGATTTTTTATTTCAGCGCATGTTTACAGTTGCCAGTGGACCTATTTTAGTCGACGTCGACATTTGCCTGCTTCACGATTTGATTGTTAAGGCTGTTTCAAATGCCGCGATTGCAGCGAAAAAAAAAAAAAAAATGTTCGCTCCGATCGCCTTGTTCGCTACTGCCGCTAATCACGGTTTCGTTTCACATGGACCGCGAACGGTCCACGATTCTCGCTTTACGACTGGAGCGGTGAGCAACGTTTCTTTGCCACCGTTCTTTGTGGCAGACACTGAAATTTTTTTAAAATGTAATGTAACAATTTGTGCGTTATGATATGAAGTTTCCATGAACGGTACCGAAGAGCACTTGTATTTCGGCATTTAAGAACACTTTCCAATTTAACTCCATTTTAAAATGCGCAAAAGCGGCCATTACCAAAACAAACACGTCGGCGCAATTTCGACGGCTTGGTCGACGGCGGCGGAAGCGAAATATATATATTTTTTTTCGCAGCGAGCGAATTCGCAGATTCAAAATTGCTACTTTTTGTGTCATGTGAAATGGCCTTTAGGCTGGTTCTCTCAATTTCTTTTTCGTTTGTTTCTATCAAAGCTTGCTATATTTTTAACTTATGAACTGCTATGTCCACTTAGACGGAATTGAATGGAAAAAAAGAAACTTGCTGTTCCCATTTAATAACCATTACTACCAGAATGTGCTAGGCGAATCTGGTAGGGATCATATTAACTTATTTGATTCAAGTCAGACTTTTGATTCGTGCTTGCAGATTAGGCAAGGGCAGAAAGAGCTGCGGCCGGGCTTTGGCAGTGATAGATTTGATGAGACAGAGTACTACTTTCAGCATGGTAAGTAACAGTATGAACTCAATTCGAAATGTTAACTGTATTGCTTAAATATGTTATTTTTTTCTGGTGTCTTTTTAGGTCTGCGGAAAGTGTACCCTTACTATTTCACCTACACAACATTCTGCAAGGGGCGCTGGGTAGGACACCTTCTTGTGGATGTTTTTGCCAGGGAGTTCAGAGCTCATTCAAAAGAAGTCTTAGTAAGTAGTGGAGACTGCTTAATGACTAAATGTGAAGGACACTTTTGTGTGCCATTGAAATTGAACACTGCATAACTTGCTACTACGTTACACTGCAGAACTCTGGGATACGATTTCGGCATGTGCTGTCATCACTGAGGCAGCAGACAACACCGTGTCAAGCTGTGTCGCTCTCGCATTTTCCGCCAATACCGTATGCCGCAATGCCGATTTGTGCAATATTTAACTGCCGCACGAGAAGTGTAAATTGGATAAAAAAAGGACCAGGCGTGGGGATGTACTGTTTGCCAAAGGGGATCACAAACCCGTGCGACTGCACGAGAAAGCAGTCTGAAAGGTGGAGGGCTTATGAGCGCATAAACAAGAACCTCAAGACATTGAAAAATTTTTGTATGTGCGGGCTTCACTTCATAACAGGCAAGTTAGGTTTCCAAATTATGTGCGAAGTTGTTTCACCCATCACGTGCAACACCATGGGCTTGGACATTGCAGACATAGTGTTTCCGAGTTCCCCAGTCAACACTGCTTCATTGCAGGCTGCATAATGTACTGAAGAATTACCTTAATCATAACCACAAGGCAACCAATCAAAACATGCTCACTGCGCGAAACAATTCGTCACCAGGATGTAAACATAACGGGGTCAGGGAGGTAACTAAGACATATGTGCTCCATTGCCTCAGTGATGGTGGACAAAAGAACTGACGTCGTTTGCAAGTTATGTATAGGAGACTTTTCATGTGTATTGCCATTGATGGCAATAATCACAATCCACAAATATGCTTATAAACTGAACGTAAGCAGCAGTACTAGGGCTGGTAAATATCAGTAGCCATTTGCATGTTGTGCTTAAGTAATGCGTAAATTCTGTAGGAAAATGCTAGCATTTGTTTCTGTGGTGTTTGGCAATCGCATAGGATTATGGCAGGTTTTGTCAGCTTAGCTGAGAAAGTCGCACGAAATAGCTCAGTCCTATTAGGGCAGCTTCTGTTAAAGTTAAAGAAAAAAAATTACGACCTTTGCATAAGTCTATACGTATTACAGTCAGGTCAGCTCATCGTGTTGCCTTGTTGAAAACACGTGTCTTGCTTGCACGTGTACGGTCGACCACAAAAATTTACGGACGACACGAGAGTGTGCCTAACTGCCTGTTCATGCCACCTAGCAGTGCCCCAGCTACCGTAGACTGCAGTGCTAAGCCGGAAGCCGATATTCTTGTTATTCGCTGGTATATGAATTTTTTACTGTCGCGTTGGTTCATTGTTTTCTCACAAAGCACTTACCTGCGGTATGAGCTGCACACTTTTATTTTGAGAAGGGATTCTTAAAAAAAAAAGAGAAAAGTGAGCCCCGTTATTGTCTGCTTCAGTGAGCGACACTGCCACAGTAGCTCACGAGGGATGGGGGGTGAGGAGGGATAAAAAGGATAGGAGTAAAGATGTAGGAAAGCCGAAGAAGGAGAAGAGAGGAAGAGACGTGAGGTGGTAAGCCAGAGCGAGAGACGACTAAAGGAGGGGATAGAAGAGATAGGAAAGATGGGAGCACGGTCACTGGAGTCCGAGGACGGGGCGCACCTGCGAGAGCTCCTTTCGGCGTCGGTGGATGGCGTAGAGCAAGTCCAGTAAGTCACAGCTGCACTGTCGTCGGAGGTGGAAGGTTGTCGGCGGCAGGAGGTGACGTAGGGCGAGCCCAGTCAGCCAGAGCCACGCTGACGCCGGAGGTCGCAAGCGCGCGGAGCACGCGAGCGCACGACCGGTCGGCCCGAAATCCAGCAAGCGAGTGATTCTTTTATTTTGATTGCACAATTGTAGGTATCGTGGCAAGCTTCAGTGGGCTGTTGGGTAGATGTCACTTTGTGAGCAAGATTGTGGCATGTAACTGTTCTGCTGATAGACTGCTTTCTAGATTGAAGTTTGTAGCCACGGCCGCTGAAGAGCGCGTTGTGTTCAAAAGTGGAAGGGGATAAATATTCATGTTTTGTGTGAAAATAGTCAGGTCATCAATGTAGGGATGCATGCTTCTTAGGCGTAGTGCTGCTGTCAGTCGCTGCTGACATAGTGGAAATGCTGCAAAGAGGCTCTTCACTATGTGCTCATATTAAACATTTGAAGTCCAGGGCACTTTAGAGGCCTGGCTTGTCCATTAAGCTCATGTAGAGTGATCATGGTGATAGTAAATTGCTCAATACAGGCAATAAGGCTAGCAGTGCTCAAACCCTTGTTCATGTGAACAAACAAGGTCCAAAATAATATAATGAACAGAAATAGTGAAGAAGTAATTGCCGAAACGTTTGAGAAACATGATGCTAAGTCGGGAAGGAGGGAGGGGGTTGCAGTAAGAGAGAGCACCTCTACCTAGCCAGTCAAGTGAATGCCCCTCTACCATGCGCCATATCTGTGTCAGAGCTGTGTCACTGTGTGAATACATTTGATAATAGAAACAACCTAATGGAACTTGCTGCAATAATATAATGAACAGAAATAGCGAAGAAGTAATTGCCGAAACGTTTGAGAAACATGATGCTGAGTTGGGAAGGAGGGAGGGGGGTGTAGTTAGAGAGAGCACCTCTACCTAGTCAGTCAAGTGAATGCCCTTCTCCCATGCACCATATCTATGTCAGAGCTGTGTCACTATGTGAATACATTTGATAATAGAAACAACCTAATGGAACTTGCTGCAGGCGGCGCTTATCTGAACTGCTGTAACAAGCAGGAGGTCTACAAAGCACAACAAAAAGTAGTGCACATGTCATACCAAGTTTGTGAATCTGCCTGGCAAGATTGTACTCATGCCTGGGAAACCTTACACACTTACCTCAAACATTGGTGTCATTAACACTTCCGTTAACAAAGCAGTGGGAACTCTATGAACGGTGATCACTGGGTTTCCGTGCAATGCACTTCCTCAGGTTCCACAGTCGTAAAGCTGCCATACGTTTGTTTTGGTTGGCTGTACAGGCTGCTGCACACATGTAGGGGAAAACTCTGAAGTGCATTGTGTGCTCGGAGTTTTCCTCTAGAGTAAAAAATTCTCTATTTGTGTGCAATATTTATTGGCCACACTATTGTCAGCCCCCGTTGCACTACATAATTGCGACCATGTAATGTGACACTACGTTTAGAAGGAAGGCATCTTTACTATCATTTCATATTCATTTGTTATGAACTGGTGGAGGGGTTTTATATGGGTACCATGTTAGTGATAGTGGAACCACTCTAAGCAGAAGCAATCATTGTATGCATGCGTGGAAGGCTAGAAGCCTTGCACACATCTTTACTTATGATGTTCGATCTGCCTTGTTGCCTTTTTTGTTGCATTTTGTCTACTACGCAGGACTATTGGTTTTGAGTCTAGTATATGTTGCTCCATGTTTAGCATGATTCACCTTTCATTTCTGCCCCAGGAAAATGCTATAAAAGCTGGCCTTGTAACCGTGAACAATAAGCCTGTTGGAGTGGACTATCGTCTTAAAGACAATGACCTTCTGGCCAATACATTGCACAGGTAAGCATGAACTTTTAATGGCTTGTGTAAAGAGCCTTTGTAGGAATAACCTTAAGGGGAGTGGAAAAATTTAAAGGACGCTAGAGCTTGCTTTCAAAACTGATATGGCCCCGCCGTGGTGGTCTAGTGGCTAAGGTACTCGGCTGCTGACCCGCAGGTCGCGGGTTCAAATCCCGGCTGCGGCGGCTGCATTTCCGATGGAGGTGGAAACGTTGTAGGACCGTGTGCTCAGATTCGGGTGCACGTTAAAGAACCACAGGTGGTCGAAATTTCCAGAGCCCTCCACTACGGCGTCTCTCATAATCATATGGTGGTTTTGGGACGTTAAACCACACATATCTATCTACATTTGCTAAGTGTCCACTACAGCATGATTCTTTCTTTTGCTAATTCGTGATGTGCCCACTACTCTGTAAGGTGCCATGTGTACTTGCACAGCTGCACAATTTGTAATGGGTGGACAGCTTTAAACCGCCCACTCGTTGCGTAATTCTCTTGTTTGATGACTGGTATGATTCTGGGATTCTGTCATGCGATATTGCATGCGTTAAAGAGGCTCCTCCCACTGCACGACATTCATATAGTGTTTTTTTTTTTTTCAAAGCTCTTTTAAGCAGTGACATGGCGCTGTGGCAGAACATCTGCTTGCTACGCAGATGGCCTGGATCTAATTCTCACTTCGAACTGAAAAGCTTTATTATTTATTTTATTAGCATCTTTCTCGGTTTTTGGTCGAGGGCAAGATGATTATTTTTCACTCACAACCAATGACATCGATGCCAATGCCGGAATTTCTTAGAAATGAGCTCTTTAACGCCGTCACGTTACTGTTGCCATTAAAGCACATTTTGATGAGTCAAATACGAAGGTATTGTTATTTATAGTATTTGGCACTAGTGATGATTATTCGGGAGACAGGAAGGAAAGACTGGCCAATAACAACGATTATTTTAACAAAACAAGGTTTATTTAGATAAAGCAACGAAAATTGCTGGAGGACCCGTCGCGGCTAAGATACTCGGCTGCTGACCCGCAGGTCGCTGGATCGAATCCCGGCTGTGGCGGCTGTATTTTCAACAGAGGTGAAAATGCTGTAGGCCCGTGTGCTCAGATTTGGGTGTATGTTAAAGAACACCAGGTAGTCAAAATTTCTAGAGCCCTCTACTACGGCGTCTCTCATAATCGTACGGTGGTTTTGGGATGTTAAATCCCTCATATCATCATGAAATTTGCTGGAGATGCAAGAAAACGACGTCTCACGAGTTTCCCAGCTGTCTCTCTTCTGCCTTCTCCCGTGACCTGCACACAGTTGCACACCCGCGTCACAACAGGACGGTTCACATCGGTGTCATATAACAGCTCCAGCCGGCTAGGTTGGGTCAGTAGTCGTGTTCTGGTGCCATTTTTTGAGTTCGGTATAGCACACTAAAAGTGCGCACAGTAAGGGCTTCTGATGTATTTAGTGAAATAGGTTGTTAAGTTATTTCATTAATGAAAACAGGGAGCCTTGGAACAAACATCAATCATGGAGGCTCACCAAAATGTTGCACATGCGACATCTTAGCACCAGCATTTCTGCTGCTGTCAAATTACATGCCACCAGTTGAATTCAACATCTATCTTAAATCAAAAGCTGGTACTCCAAGGGCTAAATATTCTATATTAGTCACCTGTCAGCAACTATTGAGTGTTAAAAATAGTGTGAATCAAAACTTTCACAGCTTGAAGGTGCCCAAGAGATTTCACAGCCCTCTTTTCACTTGATCCAAAGGGCCCACAAAACTGTGCAATATCTGCGCCTTGCGCGCAGCTCGAAAATAAGAGGAAATTAATACCATAAATAATCGGCTTAAATAGCTCCGTGAATTCTATTTTATCCCTTGAGCTTGTTACTGCACCTAAGTGTGAATACTTTGGCTGGGCTTAAACTCGTTTCCTTTTTTTCTCTTTCATTTTTTTGAGCATCAATTGACTAGACTAGTTTTCTTTTTCTTTTATTTTGAGCATCAATTATAGTTAGTCATCAAGCATCAAAGCAAAATGTAAGCAAGCTCTGTCAAGTGCCAAGTTACCAGAACAGACAGCAGTCATTCTGTTTGTACATTCCTTGTCTACATCTTTCAGTGCACTTTGATAATGCATCTGTTACCAGAAGTTGTTTCTAAATTCTAAAAAAGTGCCAGCTTGCTGAAACCTGCTGAAGCTGGCTGTAGTCTTTCAGTTATAGCGCAGATAGATATGATAGGATGTTTATTTCGTTCAAAATTGGCACGGATAAATTTTAGCCTATTTTGTACCGATGGCTTTTGTATCTGATTTTGCAGGTCTGCTTGAAAACACTAAACATGTCTAGTACCGTATAAACCGAAATATAAGTCGAGATATTTTCAATAAAATAGCGAGCTAAAGTCGCCCCTCGTCTTATATAGTGGTGTCTAGCCGACAGTGCACCGCTGTCTGGCAACATGTTGCTTGCGTGTGCATGAGAAGCTGGACACGGCCATATTCGCATACAAATCCAATAGCAGGTTTTTTTCTCTCTTGTCTGTTTTTTTTTGTGTTCGTGATTTGCCTCCGGTCTGTCCTAAGTTCTCGCTCCGCTTGACATTGTGTTTCATTTTTAGTGGTCCTTTTTTCGTTCACTGAATATGAGTAGCGGTACGAGAAGACAGTACTCAGCTTCGTTTAAACTAGATGTTGTTGAGTTCGCAGAAGCGAATGGGAATATGGCTGCTCAGCGTCGCTTTGGTGTATCGGAAAAAAGCGTGCATTATTGGAGGGTGCAGAAAGGGAAGCTGCAAATGTGCAATCATCAGAAAATGTCATTTTGTAGGCGAAGTGCGGTTCATCCGCCGCTGGGGAATACTGCCACCCACAGGTAGTGGGTCGACTGCAAGAGCGGCTCTACCATCTGGAGGAAAGAAGATAGCGTGCTTCTTCTGGACTCTAGAGCCAGCCACGACTGACGCATCGTCCCAGTGCTTGATTCATCGTGACAAATTGGTGGAAGGTGCTGGGTAGACAAATTGGTGGAAGGTGCTGGGTAGTCTTATGGATGCTGCAGACCCCCCCAGGAAGCCGTATTACGAGTCCAGTGCCTGTCAATACTCCCGTGCATCGGACCAGCCGCCGAATCAGGGGATTGCCTCTGGAAGTCGACGATACTGCTCCCACCACGTCAATAAACATGACCAGTACTTCAGTGCAAACCTTGCCAACCGGCACGGGAAGCACGTCGTCGAACCGCTATACGTTGGAAAGCCCACGGGCACCGGCGACGTTCCATGGTACGGAGCGCTAGGACGTTGAGGACTGGTTGGCGGACTTCGAGCGTGTAGCCACCTTGAATCAGTGGGACGACGCGGCGAAACTGGATTGTGTCTACTTCTATCTCGAAGATGGGGCACGCACGTGGTATCGAAATCGAAAGGAGCAGCTGATGACGTGGCCCGAATTCTCTCGTAGACGTGGCCCGAATTCTCTCGTAGACATCTGCAGACACATGCTAGCGCTGACCGCCAAGAAAGAGCTGAACGAGCTATTCTTGCCCGCGTCCAGTCGCCAAACGAAACTGTGACCGCGTACGTCGAAGACATGACGCGCCTCTTCAGAGGGGCAGATTCAAGAATGATGGAGGACAAGAAGTTGCGTCACTTGATGCGCGGTGTCAAGGACCAGCTTTTTGCTGACCTTGTGCGAAGCCCTCCAAAGACGGTCGCGGAGTTCTTGTCCAAAGCCGTGACAATGGAAAAAATTCTGCAGCAGCGATCCAATCAATACGACAGGCAAGTCAGTGGCATGTCCACTGCTGACGTTTTCACCGCCGCTGGGACCGGCAATGACTCCCTACGTGAGCTCATCCGTAATATCGTACATGAAGAATTGCAAATGGCTGGTGTAACACCTCATCCTACGGTTAGCTCGATTGCAACTGTGTTCAAGGATGAGCTGCACCAGGCCCTCCGGGACACCTTGCCTCCCGATACAGCTGCGTCAGCTCCTGCTGAATACCGCCGTGGGACAACCTACGCGAAAGCCTTGAAACGCCCTGCTGCATCACCGCCATTGTTCGTTCATCCTGTCCCTGCTGTTTCACTCGAGTCAGCGCAGCACATACCATACTACGAAGGCACGTACACGCCACCGCCCCTGCCCTTTGTCCGTGGCGCTTCTGTCGCCCGTCGTTCGGTGCAACCGGTCCAGTACATCGACGATCGGCCCACGTCTCCTCGGAAGTCTGATGTCTGGCGCACACCCGATCACCGGCCTCTATGCTTTCACTGCGGAGAAGCTGATCACTTGTACCGCCAGTGCCCATATCGCCGTCTTGGGCTTCGCGGCTTCTCTGCGTACTCGCCGCCACCCCGTTACGGCCAAAGACCACGCGACATAGAAAACTACCTCTCCCAGCAGCATGCACCACCGCCTGCCGGGCGCCAGTCGCGCTCGCCATCACCGAGGCAATTTTCATCAATGCCCCAGTAGTATTCTACTGCATGATCTCCCAGCCCCTGCCGGGGAAATTACCCGAAGCGACCTCTGGGGGCGGGGTCGCTGAACGTCGAAGCGCTGAAGACCTCCAGACCTCCTATTGACGCAGAACCGTACAGAAACTGGTCTGACATCACCTGCTGCTGCAAAGGATAGCCGGCTTTCACTCGACATAGCAGTGACAATTGATGGTTGTGTATTTAATGCGTTAGTGGACACCGGCGCAGACTATTCCATACTGAGTGGGAAACTGACAATGCAGCTAAAGAAAGTAGTCACGCCGTGGCATAGCTCGCAGATTCGGACAGCTGGTGACCATGTCGTTACTCCACTGGGCGCCTGCACAACTACAGTACAGATTCAAGGGTATACACTCCTAGCAAGCTGCCTTGTTCTACGTGAATGCTCCCGTGACGTCATTTTGGGAGTTGACTTTATACAGGAAAATGGAGCTATCATTGATCTGCAAGAGCGCCGCGTCACGTTCTCAGCCCAGCGAGCAATCAATG